CATTGCACCTCAGCCTGTGCCGGTTGGTGTAGTACCACCCATGCAGCCAGCGTTTATTCCAGCTCAACCTTATGCTGTAGCAAATGGCATGACCTATGCAGCCCCGAGCGTACCTGTGGTTGGAATCACACCTTCGCAGATGGTAGCCAATGTCTTTGGTACTGCAAGCCACACTCCAGCAGCCCATCCACATCAGTCCCCCAGTCTCGTCAAACAGCAGACATTCCCTCAGTACGAAAGCAGCAGTGCTACAGCCAGTGCTACAGCCAGCGCTACAGCCAGCCCTTTCTTCAACCCACCCGCACAGCACAATGGCTCTGCCGCTTTCAATGGAGTTGATGGTGGCAAGTGGGCTACAGAGGACAAGCATTCACAGCCTCCTGCGCCTGCTCCGCAGGTAGATCCATTTGAAGCACAGTGGGCAGCACTAGAGGGCAAGGCAAAGCAACGCACTAATCCCTCTCCAACTAACCCCTTCTCAAGTGATTTACAGAAGACATTTGAGATTGAACTTTAAGCAGTCCTTGGGAGGGGTTTGGATAATTGTACATTAGGATAGAGGGATAAAGGGAGCAGAGGGGCCTGTTTATGATCAGTTTGCTTTGATAATCCCAAAGGTCCTTTCAAACAAAAATGGGTTACAAAGAGGGAGCAATTATGGGGAGGATCTAAACATACAATGAATTTAATGTGCAGTTCTTTAAAAGGAATCCTGGAGCCACCCCAGTCTGCATTCCCTCCTCTCTTGGAAAGCTGGAAGTCAAACAGAGCAAAGGCAGGCACCCAGCCCCAACACCTGCTCTGCAGAAACATCCATCATCTCACAGAAAGGAGGGCCCCTTTTGTACTGGGGTACTTCTGATGCCCTGCAAGTCCTGGACATTCCCCCTCCGGGAACAACAGGGTGGGGTGGGGGTGGGTGGGAGATCGTCACCTGCTTAACAAAAGCCAGGTTTGTGGAAAAAGTTGAGCTTCCATTTTGAGTAACAAAGTGAATATTATATGTAAAGAATAAAGTAAAGCCAAAATCTTTATTTTTATGCATTTAGAATATTTTAAATAGTTGGATATTAAAAGCTGTATGAGTTGTAAGTAATCTTGCCAAAGGTTAAAAAAGAAGGGGGTTGGATGTAAGAAATTGTATATAAGATTGATTTATCTCTGATTCTTATTGTAAGTAATATTGGGGGGTGGAAAAAGGGGCTTTAGCTTGTTCTTGTATCTGTTCATTGTAAGTAGCATATTGCAACAACAATCATGACCAGTAAGTCATTATATCGTAGTTTTAAAGAAAGAAAATTAAAGAACAGTATTGTCATGGTTTGAAAACCAAAAACCATGGGGAAAATTTACTGTTTTTTATCGGAATTGGGCTACATATTATATATAGTAGGTTTTTTCCTTTCATGTATTGCTGCAGTTTCTTTGTCTTAATCTATTGGTTCTAACACTACTGTGACAACTTACTGTAACCATATCTACATCCTGGGGGTACCTGGGAACCATTTTATGTTTGTCTGTCAATAGATCTTAGGGGTTTTTAACTTTGGTTTTATTTTTTTTCCCACTGATTTGTGAAACCTTGTGGTTAAGGCTGCAGCTGGTCCAGGTTCTGCCTCTGGTGACTTGTGAAAACCATCTCATTTTAACTTTACTTTTAAACTTTGGCCTTACAAGCAAATGTAAGTTATATATATTTGTACTGATGATTTATAATCTGCTTTAACAGAAATAAATGTTGGTGGTAGAAGCACTGTCTGTGAAAGCTTTATTTCCCAGCCCCGCTCAGTTGTCCACATTTGCCCTTCTGCGTATTTTCTGTGTTACTAGGTGAATGTAGTTGAGCTCTGCTTGCCAACCTAGAAGCTTAATCATTGTATCTTAACACCTCTTCTGTTTTTACACCATGTTAGGTTACCTTGAACTTTAAGACTGAACTTGCAAATATCCTGGTGAACTATTTAAAGCTCTGAAAGGGAGGGCTTTACTGAAACCATTAGAGTAAGGGTTTTCTAACTGAATATTTATAGAGACAAATATGAAGATACATTCAAAAAGGGGGGAAAGGAAAATTCACTTTTTCCCCTGATACTAAAATGAGTGAAGACCCTATGAGCCATATGAGAAGATAATGTATTTTCACTGCTTTTCTGTTCTTCAAGTGAGCTGGTATCTACCTTGCTAGTGGGACTGGTGCTTACTGCATTCTTATGTGCACCACGTCAGTTTAGAGACAAGGAAAACTCAGACTTGGTAACCTGAAGGAGAAGAAATGCTCCCTTTGTTTGGGCCTAGTATGTGAGCTTGCCAGCGGTTTCCATTTCCAGGCCAGTACAGTGTTTCTCACTGTAATGTGGTCTAGAAAACTGAGACTTCTTTTCTTTACAGATTCTCACCTGTTTTCAGTACAATATGATAGTCATGACCAACACTCCCTGTGGTGTTTCAGTTAGTAACAATGATTTGTTTAAAAAAAAGAAAAAAAAAGCAAATATTTGTAGACATTTATACTAGGAAAGAAACCCTGTATAGCTTACTCATTTGTTCCCTATCTTTCACAGCCCTGGTGCCCCAAGATCAGCTGAAAATAGCCCAGGATAGCTACACCCTTCCCCTGTCCTGGAGATAACAGTGAAGGGGATGGGACCTTCCTACAAGCCATTGTTTAGGGAAGAAAATGGACATCTTGGTTCTCGAAAAAAGTAAATAGTTAGGCAGTTAAGTGCCTGACTGTTACACAGAGGGGAAAAGCATAAAGTCAAATAGAAGAAATGCAAAAAGAGCCTTCAGTTAACTATTACAGTGATGGCATGTACATGAAGCGGTGAGCTGCATGTCTTCCACTACATCCTTACTACCACAGTTATCAGCTGGAAAGAGGTCAGAGTTAAACACTCATTAACCAAAGTCCTGCCCATCAGCATACAGTGGACTGTTAAAGCCCTTGCGAGTCTTGAGAAAGCACTCCCTGGACACATCCTGAGTACCCATACTGCTTAAAGGGAAGCTGACCACACAGGATATTTAAATATTCTAAAAATAGAGCCTCTGGTGTGGAAAGTGATACTGCTTATATCGGGACGAAAGGGTGTGATGCAACCACAATGAACTTCTAACCATGCTCCTGAGCAGGTACAGACCTTGACCACTCTCTGTGCCTGCCACAGGTGAACTGGGAGGGCTCCACTAAGACTGGAAGTCACACAGTCTGTGATTGATTAGTCTCTGGTCTCAAAGGGCAAAGTCATGCTATATACAAAAATACCACATACACACACACACAAAAAGATGCTGAGCTGAGATATTAAATGTGAAATTATGTATAAAGACAACTGGAAATCCTCAGGACCGTCTTACCGTTCTATAGCTGATATTGTCACCATCAAACCTTACGCTGTAGCACCTGTGAATTACAGCAGAGGACGTTTTCCCTAATCAAATTAGAGAGTCTTAACTATATAATCAATATTTTTGTCTTTTTTAGCAAGCAGATTCTTACAAGGCCACAGAAAAACCCACCCCCAAATAGCTGCATGACCCTCCCCTCCCGCTCCTTTACTGGATTGCTTTTAGATTTTGCAGTTTGTTCACATCTTAAAGCAGTGTGTCCAACCCTGAAGCCACACCTGTGCTGAATGAACAGCGTGCAATCATGAGGTTACTAATTCTTATTTTTAGGTGCATCTGAACTGATTTACTGAATTTAGAGTTCACACCAGCTTTAGGTGGTCAAGCCTGGCAAGGCAACTTTCAAGCTGTAAAAAAGGCTTTTGCTCAAAAACAGTTCCGTTTTGAGACACTGAACACATCCAGCGGCCTTTCCTGGTCTAACAAATCATGATATAATCTCACCTCCCCACTCACACTTTCAGTGCCTCATATGCACGCTCTCTGCCACTCAGCCTTTTGTCTTGAAACAAAGGATGCTTTTCAGCTACAGCTGCTCTGCATCTGGAAGTCCTCGCTAGCCCATAGCAGCATCAGTCAGCCCAGGCCCCATGCATGAGCCAGGCTTGCCTGAGACTAGAACAGATCACAGGGAAGTTTTATTCTGGCACATCAAATACCCCTACACGTATTTCTTTCTATGTGTATATTCAACTCCCCAAGCTGAAACTCAGTGCAAAGCCACCACTGAGCCCAGCTTTGCAGTAAATTCAAGAGCATAATTCTGGCTCTGAAAGAAAAATCAAACCTAAAATTATCTGCTGAGCCTTCCTAGGGCGAGTGATATTTAAACTGCACCATCTCAGAACAGATAACGGTGTTGGTATATTCATCTGAATTACCCCTAACATTCAGGAAGGGTTTAAAAGCATACTTCTATTTTGTCTTAAAGCTTTTTGTGAAGCATTGCTTCTGCATTACACTCCAAAGCTGATTACAGTGAAGTAGGAACCAAACTAAGCCAACTAGAAATTTGTCTTAAGGTCTGCTGGAATAAAACAGCTCCAGTAACATGGCATCCCTAGAGCTAGTAATCTCAAAGGACCTGAACAGTAATTTGATATGCATCAAGCTGTTTCTCATGGGCAGAGTCCTTTGCATTTAGATGGAAAGTGCTCCCCAGCATTACAAATGCTCATCGCTCGTTAGTGATTTGGTTAGAACAGTTCAGACCATCTTCAAACACTTCAGAGCTTATTTTCTTTAAGAGGACTTCTCTCTTGCTTGCATGAAGAATTGCTCTCTCCCTCTTTTATGCTGGTTATGTGCCTTTTCTAAAGTCACAGCATCCTTATGTTCCCAGTAGCAGCTTGTTCTGTGAATGAAAGCAACTACTCTTAAGTGAAGAAATGGATTAGCTACAGCAAGCTGTACAGCAGGGAAAAGAGAAGTTTACAGTAAACTTGAGGGTGGTGGCTCTCCCACCTTTGAACAGTCACACTCCCTACCCGCTGTTCAATTCACCCTCAAGCTCTTCCAGTCCGGCAGAGCTCCTGAACAGTTTGACGCAGGAAGTGGACAGAGTTCAGAGGTGCAGCCTCGCAATCGGTCACCTGTATTTGATGTGGCCACAGGGTGTCTATCACCCGTGGTGATGAGGAGGGCTGGCCCGTGGTTGGGAGCGAGAGCAGCTAGCACAGCAGAAGCTGGAGTAGTACTCGTTGCTGCAGAGCTGGGCCTGCAGGATCAGGTCACAGTTGGCAAGGTGGGGCTGGTCCACGCACTCACTGCTCAGGTCCACAATGCGATTCACAGTAGCTGCAGCCAAGTGAAAGGTGAAGAAGTTGTACACACACTGCCAGAGCTTATCCTCAGGTTTCATTTCCCACAGCATGCTCCTGCTTTCTCCACCCTGCCAGTTCTAAGGGTGTTGTTTTAAATTTAGTCCAACATCAAGGATGTTGAGAGAAACCGACACCTCTGGTGAGATACAGGAGGAGAATGCAGTTTCTGGATGGCATCCAGAGTCCAAATACTAATCTTGCAGCCAACTTCTTGGTCAACCAACTGTGACATTTAGGCCTTGGGAAGTTAATTAAGCTCCCAGCACCCTCATGCATGTGTGTTGGGGGGAAGCGTTTCTGCTGTCCTGCTTTTCTGCCCAGGGAAAGCAGGGCTCTAAGGGAAGCACAGCCCAGCAGCTCCTACTGCTCCCCAAAGCCCAAGGTCAGTGGTGGATGGGCATGTCAATGGGCAGACTTATAATAGCATCAAGAGGCAGTCACTACTCTGGGAGAAGCAGGGGGGGCAGGTTGTACTCACAGCTAGGCTGGCTCCTCAGCACCTTCACCTCTGTGCTGGCACTGACGGAGTTGCTGCTGCTATAGGCGCTGCATGTGTAGGATCCCTCATCAGCCTCTTGAACATTGCTGATGATCAGGCTTCCATCCTGGGACAGGTGGATGTGGTGCTCAACTGCCCGCATGGGGACCCCATTCCTGTGGTGAAAACCATTTTGTGTCACTATTCCCACCCACACGGCCAGAGGAGCTCTCTGCAGTTTAGGAGCTGAGGCTCTTTGGAAGGAGGGAATCTTTACAAATTCAGCAGGAAGGGAGAAAAATCCTTTTGCCATGACCCAGCTCTACAATTGGATATTTACACAAGCCCAAATGAGTCTGTGTCCATTGGCCACTGGCTGTGTGGGAGGCAGCTGGCTGTGTGCTCTGTATAAAGACATTACCCTTTCCGCTATTACACATTTTTGAGGCTTGAGGAACTAAGCAAATCCAGGGTGCCTTTCCTCTCTCCAGGTTGTGGTCTGGCAGTGCTTATTTGCCTGGCATTGGCAGCAGCGCATATTGTTTGAGGAACATATGGGGCAGTGAGCACTGTGCCCTCTTTCCCTTAAAAGCTTGCTTTTAAAAAAATACATTTAAAATACCAGCACGATTATGTCTGTTCTGTTCCTCCTGGAATATTCTGTGCCCAGCAGCAAAACTGCCTGAATTATGGACTCCTAGTTACCAAGGAAATGAAATTTGTTTCACTGAAAAGGGTTTCATTCAGGCTCCGAATCTTGCATCATTTTGCTAACTCAAATACCAAACTTCTATATGGAAGAAAAGCTCTTTGTGAGATGGCCCACTTCAGTCCTATCCCATGGAGTACAGGGATTTAAACAATTACCAGTCCATCTCTCTGGATCCTTTGCAACAGGGCTCCAAAACAAAGCTGGTTATTTTCAAATAGGGGGAAAACACCCTGACCATACACTTGCACAAATTCAGTTTCCCTGTAACCCACCAAGAGAAGAAGACACAGCTTTTCCTTTGCCTTTGTTAGAACACTTTAAAATCTCCTTTGCTCCCACTTGACAGTAGAGGGAGAGAACTATTGCAGCAGGGAACTGGGAGAAGAGTCACTGTTATTGTGGGGGCTAAAATGTTTGTTCGGGTTAGGCAGAGAGAGTTTTATAAAGACCAACTAAAGGTCTCCCTCTGATTACTCGTTTTAGTTTTTGCTATTGTAATGTCTCCAGCTTTCCAACATGGAGCCCTTCTGAACTCCAGGAAAGCTTAGCTTAACATCTGCTTTTCTCCTCATTTAGCTGGAACATGAGCCTGGTGACTCCACAGGCATCTTTCCCAGGATTTTGGGGTAACAGCCAAGTTGTTTAGGAAAATGTAGGTGATGCTAAGTTAGGGCTGAGAACCATGGGTCTCTCCCTTGCTTAGCAGGCATCTTGTATTACTATTTGGAGGGTAAGTGGTGAGGTTTCAGAAGAGAAGAAAGGGGAAGTTCTGTCTCATTTCTGCTTACCTGGACCACCGTATATTCACGTTGTTGCCAGTCACTGTGCAGTGAAGCTGAGCAGTCCCTCCCTCAAGTACCGTGATGCTCGGCAGAAGACCAGTGATCCTCAGCTCTCCTAGACCATAAGGAAATCATCACTAACAGGAAGATAATGCCAGGCAGTAGGGGCATTCCCTCATGGGAAAAGTCCAACATATGCTATGATAAGCTACAACCCCCCAGGCCTTGAAATAGCATGTTTGCAGTTATGATGCTGTTGCTATAGGGAATGTGGATTTCCTAAGGTCTTTGGCCCAAGCAAGCGCAAGTAGCAGTGGCCTCAAAGAGCTTTTTCCTCCAGCTGGATACAAGCACATCACATGCACAGAAGAACCATCTCTGTAGTTCCTCTTGCTCCTGTATGCAGGAAGAAGCAATTTTGCAACCAGTGTCCTAGAAACAAGACCCTGAGAGTCATTCTTACTGTACTATTAGTTCCTCTTCTCAGCTGCCTGGAGCACCATGGTCTGTCTACTAGACACACACGGATTACCACTGGGTAACACAACTCACTCTTCCCTTTCCCTCAAGCTGCCTGTTACCCATTAGGTAAGAAGACAAGAGGCATGGCCAGAAAAGAAAGCCATCTTCACCTGCCCTCCTTTTTTCCCACTTGTGTGCAGACACATGTGTGTGCAAACATGCCATGCATGCCTCCACACATCCCATACCCAGAGGTCTGAACAGGACCTGGTGCTGTTCCTGGTCACGGCCATTTGAGGCAATGCAGGTAAAGAAGCCGACATCTTCAGAGCTGACCCGGCTGATGACCAGGGCCCCGTCTGACTGCTGCCTGTGTCTGGGGAACAGAATAAGAAGGCTCCTCAGCCTGTGCTTGGGTCATGGTGGGATTCCAGACACCAGAGCTGAAGCTAAGCAGCGTGCAGAACTCTGTAGTAATACTGAGTGAAGGTCTAGCAGCAGCTCAGTTCTCAAATCCCAGCACTAGTGTTGGGATTAGACTGGGAATGTTTGCTGCTGGAGCGGGGTTTTGGGAGGAGAGGGTGAGGGGAGCTGTAGGACAGCAGCACCAGTAGCCGTGGAAGCTCACTGCAGGCACCCTGAACTCTCTGCCGTGGACCTCTGTCCTGGCTCACATACCAGCTGGTTCTTGGCAGATTTGCCTGCTGTGTGTTCTATTTCTGCTAATCTTGTAGATGAATATATTTCAGCTTTGGCTCACTTGTAGATGCTGTATCACAGCTATTCACTCAAGGGTTCAATGCAGACTTTGATCTGTGAATGAGGCTAGGGCAGTCAAGCAGTATGGTCTGGCTCTAACGGGGGAAGCTGGCCAGCACAAAGCTGGATGTGCCCTAGCTGCATGGCCAGGAGCTCCACTCCACCAGGGAGGAGTCAGGGCAGGCAATGGAGGAGGACGTTCTCCTCCACATGAACCTGCCTGTGGGAATGGTGAAGCTGCTGGGGAGCTCACCTGGGAGAGGAGAGGGGCTGCCCGTCTTTCTGCCATTCAATGGTAATAGCCGGCGATGCTTCCACTGTGCAGGGCAGTCTGACTCTCTCCCCGATGTTGGCCTCCACTACCGAGGGTTCCCTCTTATCCGTCCTCAACCTGAAAAGTCCACCAGCACAACAGAAGCTGCACAAACTCCCTTGTTTGGCATTCGACTTTCAGCACAAGGCTTTTTCAATCACAGGCCTTCTGTTTTGCCTCCAATGGGAAAGGGCAGTCTCTGCACTCCTGTCAGAGCTCTTGTACTTGCCATTGCTAGCATTCACTCACCACATTCAGAAAAGAGCAGTCTCCATTTAACCCTGCTCCAGTTCAGCACAACTTGGTGCTGCACTCCTGCCAGCCAGCTTAACCCTTAGAGACAGCAGCCCTGTTTTTTATAGCACTCCCCTGGATAATAGCCCAGGAAGCGTTTGTACCATTTGCCATGTGCTCATGTTGCTAAGTCCTGAACCAAGCAAGCTTCCTCTAAGGTGCTTAAATGGCACACAAAACTGAGCAGGTATTTGGGGGGGAGTGTGAAGAGCCCACTGCAATCACCTGACTGCACACAAGGCCCAGGAGCTGGCATCCACTTCATGCAGCAGAAAGGTTGAGGTCAGGCTCTGGCATCACCCATCTCCTCGTGTGCTTTGCTCTCTTACAACTACAGGTAAACACCATATTGGAAGGGAACTAAACCATGATGTTCCCAGGGTGAAATAAAACATCGTCTCCTGCACCCCCCTTCTCTGACCTGAATTCTTGATCTCAAAAAACAAAACCAAAGAGCCTTAATTGAATGAATCACTTCTTCCTGCTTTTAGGCAGAAGCAGCTAAAGAGACTGATGGGGAGTTCAGCAAATCGACTGGATTTTAAGGTTTAAACTCAAAAGAAGGGAAGGATCAGATCATGGTTTGATTTAACCCAGAGCCCCAACATGCTGCATTTAGAGCCAAAATAATTTGTGCCCTTTTATTTCTGTGGAGCCTAGAAACACCAAAACACCATGCAAGAAGCCATAGAACATACCACCCAGTACGTGAAGAGAGTTTTGAGTCAAACTGGGTTGTTCACAAAATATTTAAAATAAACAGATGGGGACTCAAGTAACTGGAGCTTTTTTAATCCATATTTCTGCCTATTTTGTGCTAGTTAAGCAGTTCTTACTTGCTTTGCTTGTTTTCCAGAACAGTTTTCCCTTTCTGCCTCCACTAACTTGAACAGCTAAGGATGCTGGCCCTAGTATTTCTACTTTTGCTTGAACCAGCTCCTTTGCTGTCAGCCTCCCTGCACCTCTTTGCTCAGAACATGCTTCTTTCAAGAGACACCTGGGGAGGACAGAAGGCAGCTTGCGACTGGGGTCTTCTCCCCTTCTTGTTGTCAGCAGTTCAGTACTGCTTGCTTCCCAGCAGTGCCCCGGAATGGCTGACCCAGGACCTCCCCAATCTTTAGCTTTTCTACATGAAGAGACACCATATGGCTCCTCAGCTGGGCATGGTGGACAAACTGTTGCTGTATGTGCACTTACCTGTGTGTGAATTGCTGATGCACAGAGGAACCGGCTGCCTGTACAACCTTCCTGCCTCTGGATAGCTCCGAATGCTGATGATTTTCCTTGTGAAGGACCTGACCTCTCTCAACCTCTGCCGTAGCAGCACTCTGGTACTCTATTCAAAATAAAATGCCATCTGTGAGTAAAAGGACACTTCTTACTGTGACCTCTTGCATACGGTTTCTATGAGCTTGGGAGAGCTTGCTGAACTGAAGCCAAAGAGCCCTTCAGCCATCTGTTTTCTGGCTGACTAGTGCAGTAAACCTGCACTGTCTGCTAATGACAGTCACAGACCTACAGGCAAGCAGTTTTAGACTCCTTTCTCTCTTCTGTCGAACATGTTGCCACATCCCTTAGGCCACAATGCTTTCTGCTCCATGTGCCACTGCTGTGACAAAGCATACTTTGTGACTGAATACTACAGGAAGCTTTGCTGGCCCATCTTTTGAGACTGGTTTTTCATATTGGTTTTGGTTTTCTTTCTTAAACAAGGCACGTTTTTCAGAACAGGGAATTGTTTGTTACCCAGCAGGACCTGTCTGGGCCAAACACAAAACATAAATGCACCGACACAAGCAGTTATGGCAAAGTGGTCACATTGCAGTGTGAGATGGAGGGCCCAGGAAAATACAGGAAGCCTTTCTTCTGGGGTTTCCTTTCTGGGATCAGGATGCAGATGATGGCTCTCAGGGAGGAAGACATGCTCACTGTGCTGGAAATGGGCAGGTTACAGGCAAGCCACAACTGCAGTTGTGGGGTGGCACTGCTGGGGGGGCAAGTGCTTTGAGGCTTGAGGCTTTGTCAAGAGACAGCACAAAAAGAAGCCCTGCTGCCTCTACACTCCCTTGTGGCACCCCTACAGTGGAGGAGACCGAGTGCTTTGACAGCTTGTGGGACACCACTGCCGTGGAGGGAACAACACTGCTAGCACAGTGTGGCAGTGGAGGAAGTCTGCTCCTGCAGCTGGCTTTATTGCTGCTGCTGTCAATAACCACTAACGAGGAGCCCTGAGCTGCCTCTTTAGTTGTAAGCGGAAGATAAGTCACCTATGATCTGTAACTGAATCTGTCGGGTCTCTGTCCTCCCGTCAGAAATGAGGCATGTGTAAGTCCCAGCATCCTCCGGCTTGACAAGGCTGATCACTAAGGAGCTGTCAGACTGGTAGGTGTGCCTGCAACACGAGCAAGGATTAACGGGCTCTGCCTGGCCAGGAACAGCATCTGCCCAAGGTAGAGCAGCCCTTCATGCTGATCTTACATAAACCATCGCCATGTAGTGCCCTCCCCGGCTTAGAGAAAAACAAAACCTTGTTGACTACAGAAGGGTCAGACATGGGAAATAAGTGCCCCAGAAAGCAGGTCAGGAATAGAGAGAAAACTGAGATGGAAGAACAGGGAACTGCTTTCAGCAACCCTCTCCACGAGCAGGCAAACTGCCCTTTCAGGCAGCAGCTTGAGTCCCAGCAACCATCTGCAAACAAAAAAGAGTAACTGGGCTTTTCCTAACCGTGGTTTTCTTAACACAATGTGACTGTCTGGCTCTAAACTGTTGCTGGAAACAGACTTCCCAGGAAAAACAGGATCTTAAAATAGTTTAAAACATTGTATCTTAGATGGGAGTGCCATAAACTTCCATCCAGAGGAACTCTGAGTTACTTGGAGCTCACCTGCTCTCCAACGAAAGGTGCTGAGCTCACCTGTCAGATGAGACCGGTCGGCCATTCTTCATCCACTCCACTTTGGAGAAGGGGGACATGCCTGCCCTGCAGATCAGCTGGACGTTTTGCCCCACAGCTACTGTCACAAGAGAGGGACTGGCTTCCTCCAGGATGGTTCTGAAAAACAGTGATTCCATTGGCACCACTGCTGCTTTCCTCTCCTCTGAGTCCTCTAATGCGACTCTGGATGAATGACAACCACAGGGCAAAGGAGGACTGGCTAGCTATTCAGCTCAGAGCAGATGCACCAGGAAACAGGAGCCCTACCCTAAATGGCAAAAGCTGCTCTGAACAGACCAAATGCTACAATTATCTGCAGGAAGAGTCCTACAACCACTCTGTTCCGAAGAATCTAGGTTCAGCTCAGCAGACACAGATCCAGTGCAGGTACATTTAGATCTTGCTTTACACACTCCTGATTTTCAGGGTGTGTTGTCTGGATCCTGACCCAAACTCTGCATTTGAAAAGTCTTCCCTAGAACAACCCACTACTGCTCTATGCAGTGCTGAGGTAAAGGCTCTGAAGTCAAAGAGTCAGCTAAATTTGGTCAGAACAAGAGAAACCTATGGATTCTCATTTACAGTGTAAGAATGCTCCCCAGACAAAGACCCCAGGATCCTGCAGTCTTTTCACACACCCTACTTCCAGTGCAAAGAAAGGGACAGCGGGTATCTCCATAGCCTGAATAACTTGATTTACCAAAGGGCCACATGCACAGAATCAATTCTATGATTCTGCGTATAGCCAATCCCTTGCACAGTGTTCCTAGTGAGCTGGTCCCAGCTGATGCAACACACCTCCACTCCAGAGGAAGCTGCACTGGTGCTTCATAAAGAGCTGGCAGAACAGGAAAAGAAATATAATAAACACATCATCACCTGTGCAGAGCCCGCACTGGGAAGGTGTCTGCAGGCGCGTGGTACCCAAATCCCTCTGTGATGGAAACATCTGCTCCAAAAGCCTTCTGCCACTGCCTGCCTTCCTGGGGCAGCTCCTGCTGGCCACTGCTCCTCTGCCTCTCTGAGGGCCTGGGTACTGCTGTTTCCCACAGGTGCCGCGGGCTCAGGCTGTCCAGTCTGCTTTGCTGGGTGCGCCAGCGCTGGCTCTCCAGCACACCAGTCCTTGGCAAAGACTCTGTCAGCACCTCAGTTCTCCAACTGTCCTGTCCGTGTCTGTCTTGCCTGGGGGGTGCAGCTCTTCCTTCTTGGCTGTGACTTGCAGACTCTCTAACGGGTGGCTGCTGCTGACCCCAAGCATCCCCTATACGAGAATGGGAGCTGGTGTGCTGGTGTTGCAGCCCTCCTGTGCCAGAAGAGGGCTGGTGCTCCAGAGGACTGACCCCCGCGGAGTTGTGGCACACTCTCATGCACTCCTCCTCTGAAGCGAAACTGTTTTTATTGCCATGACAACCTCCATACCAAAACCGGTTGCACTTGCCAACAACAGCCACGAAGTACCAGCGAGTGGTCCAGTTCGAGCAGGGGCCATGGGCACTGGGCAGCAGGCATGTTACAGAATATGCTACCAAAAACAGCAGAACAGAGGGAGATGTGAGGGTTATGAAGCACAAAGGTCCAGGTGCTTCAAGCCGCCTACCGTGATGATCTGATGGGCCTTGTGGGCAGAGGGCAGGTGGGAAAATAAGACACCCGAGTTTGGCACCCAGCCCTGCTTTGAAATTAGGCAGCTGCTTACATGTTTCTTTCTGCCCCAGTTCTGCCACTGGTGGAAAGCAAACCAGCCTTGGAGACATTTCTAAATCCAGATACTAGATGGATGCTTTATGGCCTTTCTTGGGGAATCCTGCAGCTGCAAGGTTGGCTCTGGGGTTTCTTGTCCTGCAAGGGGCACATGGCTACTGTTTGCACATTTCCAGCCCACAAAGCAAATGGATTAGACCCAGCTGTGAAGCCTCATGCATTACAGAATACCCCTCCACACATTGGTATAAAGAGGACCACAGCCCAATGTGTCCACAAACTGAGGCCTGGGCTCTCGAGTCACAGGTATCACAGCCACATGCTGACAAACACTGAATGCAGGGCCTTGGGAGGTCCTTTGCCAAGCTGTGGCTGAGCAGAGAGGATCCAGAGAGCTTACCCTTTCTGCATGGCAGCCCCACAGGGCTTGCCACGAAGCAATCTCTGTGCTGCAGCAAAACAGCAAGGCAATGCAGCAGCAGTGTGCCTGCAGACGCTACAGCTGGGAACTAAAGGAGCAGAGATGGTTTTGCCCAGCAGCTCTAGTGCCCTTGTAGTACAGCAGGCACTGTATCGATCTCTGCTGGTTAAAAGCATCCACACAGCCCTGAGCAACACCTCCATCCTTAGGTGTATCTCTCATTCCAGCCCTGTCCACGGGTTGTCTGGAGGCTGGGCACAGCCCTGATTCCTTACATTCCTACTTCCCTCAAACACCTGGTAACCAACTTGGAGCACTCCAGGCTGCACCAGCATGTCTTTTCAAGGGCAAACAGCTCCCCAGGAGTCCTACAAGTTGACTGAGATCACACAAACACAATTCTGTCCAGTTATCAGCAGAGGACAAAAAGAATTTCTGCAGTGGCTGACAGAACTGAACCCCCTGGCTGCTTTTCTACACTTCCCCCAAGTTTCCCCTGCCCCAGCCACCAGGCAGAAGATCTTTTTGAAAAGATAATTTACTACACTTTACAGAGAGCAGAGCTTGCATGGATTCTGTAGGACTCTTCCCATGTTTCTAAGCCAAGAAGCTAAAGTGTCACTTACGGTACTTGGGCCTATTGAGACATCCTTCCCCTTGAGGACCTGAAGCTGAAGCAACATTGTCAAAACAGCAGCCGTACATGGAACCGCGGCACTCGCCCGAGGGGTGCTGCTGGGACAAGGCTTGGCTTGCCTTAGAGATAGGAATTGGAAGCCAAAAGTTATCATGCATACAAGAAGACAGTAGCACATGCAACCCACCATGTCCAAGCTGTCGGCTGCAGAAGGCCAGCTGTTAGAGGAACCTCTATCTGTTTGTTTGCCTCCTAGAGGCTTCCATACTGGGAAGGAGTGGGAAATGTGGCTGTCAGCCATGGGGCCAGGGCTGCACTTCTCTGCAAGACAGACTTAACCAGCCTAGCTGCAGGCCATTTTTTTTTTAGCTGGCCCCACCGAGCACCCCAAGCTGTAAGAGGAATCACCTCCCTGACTATTTTGCCCTCAATAAATCTGCAGAGTTGACAAAAGCAATTAATAGTGGCCATGTTTTTCCCATTTTTTTCCTCCTAGAAACTGGATGGCAAGATTCTGTCCAAAAGAAATTTGATTGCTCAGGATTATTCTATCAGTCCTACACAGTATGTTCATCTACTTCTCAGACACCTCCCAACCTCCCAATCTGTCCCCTGCTTACAGAGGATCACAAGTGGATGCCCCAGACTGCACAAGGGCAAAGTTGGCCAAAGGGCTTCACGCCACACATGGAGTACTGGCTCTTTACTGACAGAAATGAAGCACAGCAGAAACCCACAATGTGAGCCACTGGAGTAAAATCTGAATCTTTGTATCTGATGGGCTCCTAAAACACAAAGATTTTTTTGTACTTACTGTTGGAGTGGGCACAGTAGGCTGATTTCTGCTCGCTTGAACTTCATGGTAATATTGCGGGCATCCCATGTTGTTAGGACCCTGGGCAGCCGATACTCCATCAGGACAGCATCCATACCTACGGGAAAAGGCAGAAGGGCTGCAGCAGTACCTGACCTGCCCAGCTCAAGTAAAGGCAAAATTTCAGCAAGCCTCCAGGAAAGGCAATGCCTCCCTGCTCAAGCATATATATTCCAGTTACCTGTTTTGGTGACAGGTGCTGAAGGGGCAACCTCTTCCTAAAGGGCCTGAGGCTGGAGTGTGCCCATCTGGACAGCAGCCGTGTGGGCTCTGATGACAGTGCTGAGAGCCAGTCCCTGCAGTGAGGCCCTGAGAGAAGCTGAGCTGATAGGAATCCAAGGAGTGTGACTGGGATTCCCAGCGAACAGGCAACAAGTTGATGCCACGGTCCTTGGTGGATAGGATGTGGTGATTTCCATGAGTACCATGGTTCGTGGAGCTCCCAGAGAGCATCCTTTCGTCACCAGGATCTGGGGAGGGAACTCCTTACACCATACAGGTGAGCATAAAAATCCGGTCAGTTTTCCTCAGCTCTGCTCTTTTTTACTTGCTGAAGGCTACAGTGAAGGCTTTTCTGCATCAGAATGCACCCAAATGTGCCTTCTGCCCGCCCCTCACCTCCCCCCAGTCTTTGCTCACTGCACTGACCATCCTTTCTGCTGTCCCATGAGAAACCACCTGCTACACTACTGTGGTCCCATCAATATCATCCTTTCTTATTCCTAGGATCTGCTTTGGGCAGCATTTCTCTCAGCCAGCACTGAAGTCATGCTGCCAGAACCTGGCATGTATAATACTATACAGAGTCTTCTGCATGAACAGATTCAAATACTGATCACTATCTGTGTAAAACAATCTACACTTTGTCCCTGGCTCCTTGAATTTCTAGAAGTCCATGAAAAGAACAAGAGAAATGAAGAAAAGCAGGAACCTTCCCCAACCACAGCCTATTTCAGGTCTGCCATCATCAAAACCCCAAACTAACAAAATTCTTCCAAACCTGTTGCAGGGCTGTTTGGGTTGTAACGTGTCAGCAAAGACTGGCGAGTGACATCGTATCCCATAGTGTCCTGCATACTGGGGACCTCTGCAAAGAGAGACGTACACAAAATGAGTGCAGTTAGTCCAGCCATATGTTCTAATAATTGCAAATGCATTCAGGAATCAACGGGAGAATAAAGTTGATGAAAATGTTTCTTTCTTCTGGAACAGCTGCTGAGCAGCAATTGGATTCAATTGGATTGTCAGGACATTGACCTGCAATGGGCAGGCAGACAAATGTCAGCGTTTCAGCTCTGGCATGAAGACTAGACACAGACAGCAAGCAAAATCTTCTAAGCAGTTGTGTCCTTTATAGCTGCTCCACAGAGGGAGGAGGCCTGGATATAGTTTTTAGTTACTGAGCCTGCCCAGGTGTCATTCTTCATGACTGGGACTCCTGGGGTCAGTGTGCAGTACACACTGGGACAGAGCCATCAAAATGGACACACATCAATGTTGTCTTATATACATTTCAACAGCACAGGTACTGGGACTCTGGTTATGTGCACAAAACATAAATGCACAGGCAGGCAAGAAACTGAGAACATGAGTTGGTGCAGAGCTGGGAATTCCTACTCCTAAACAGAAGCATCTTAGGAAAAGCGAGGTGTGCAGCAGTACCACTCACGCTGTGGCAGGTAGCAGGGCTGCATGTTGCAGCTACCCAGGGTGGCTGGTTTCTGTGGCTGGATGGCTTTGCATGTCTCAGGACTGTAGTATTTGGAGTCGCCATCAGCGCAGATCACTTGGCGTGTCCGGATGCCTGAATTGCAGCTCTTGGAACACTTGGACACAGAGACAAGGCAGGTGAGCAGGCAGCAGAGGCTGAATGCAGAAACCCCACAGACCAGAAGAGTGGAACAGCTGCATGACTGGCTGCAGGCTGAGCACAGCATCCTCCACCAACACACAGCAAAAAATATTTCAGCTGATCCATCTGAACAATTAGAAAACCTTACTTTAAACCATTTTACCAAATGCTGCACCCAGCCCTGAAGCATTAGGCTCTGAGCTGTGCTCAGCCTGTAACATCTGGATGAGCTGCTGTTACACACAGTAGTGTGGCAGTGAGCTGGAGTGAATTGCTTCAGTCTGGCCTGAAGGCATCTGAATACTATGGGGATCCGCCAGCTGTGAGGAGGTCAGTTTTGAACTATGCTTTCAAGAGCAACAGTTTACTATAGAAAAGCAAACTGCTGGCTTTCTTGTAAGCAGCTACCTAGAGTTCCTCTCACTGAAAGCTGTAGATGAAGAGGGAGAAATGAGCAGCACCTCAGGGAACGGGAGAGAATGAGGTGTCTGTGTAAGCCAACTGCTGGTGGAAAGCTCTACAAACACTGGGAGAATATTTCTCTCTCTTGTTCAGATGCAGATAGGAGCCCTTCTGATATCAGAAAGACTGGGCCCAAGAAAGATCAGATTAAGGCATGCAAGTTCTTTAGCTGTTATTAAAACTTGGCCCATATCTCATGGGCCAAGAGATGTAACATGTTTTAACTCAAAACAAGCTGAGTCTGGCTAGCACAGAAGGGGAAAAGTGTGTTTGGAAGTCACCTGATGCATTTGATCTACCCCTATCTCCTTCCCGCAGCACTTTTCCCAGGCTGAACACAGTCTGTCTTCCTCCACAAAGACAAGAGTAATCCAGCTGAAGCACAGTTTATCTGAACTATTACAAAAATGTACCTTAAGCCATATCACCATGCACAATGACCAGTCCTGAAGCCGCGTCATAGTTATGCAAAGAGCTGTTCTACTATTCACAGCAAAGGAACGAAGAATTGGGAATCAGCAGCAAGGGTGGATTATTATTTCACCTTATTGGCTGCATTTTGCCACTGTCACTGAAACCATAATCCCCCCCATCAGAAGGGTTTATTTCTGTAGCAGCTGCACACAAAGCAAACAGCAGATTAACTGGAGCATTACTAGTGCCAGTTACAATGCGGATGTGAGCCAAGGGACTGGTAAGGAAGCAGTACATGCTCTCAGCCTCAGCCAGTGTGCAGACTGCACAGATCAAAGCCTGTTTGCAAGGAAACAGCAATACAATCGGTTATTTCTGAACCGTGGAAGTGTGATGCTCACCAGACCCCAGTCTCCAATGTGCCAGCCAATTTCTTGGATGCAGTTCTCCTTCAGGCAGGGCTGGGTGGCCGACGGCTTTGGCTCCATCAGGCAAGCGAAGTCCTGAGCCTGAGAGCCCTGCTGTGTTCTGCAGGTGACAGTGCGGGTCTGGACCCCTTCCCCACAGCTAGCTGAGCACTGCAGAAAGGGGCCAAACAATTACAAAGAAGTACCTGGTTTCCACTTGCACTTCCAGGCTGTGCTCCCTAACGTTAGGGCAGAGCACCATTCTGAGATTGCCTGAAACAATCAAGCATCATTAAAATCATCTTCAGGATGGGAGTTAGCAGAGTAGTTGTTTATGCTATAGAACAGGCAATAAGGCATGGTGGATAAGGTCTGGGAGATCTGGAGCTCACTGGATGATTTTGGCCTAGTCATATCATTTATTTTGATCTGTACCGGTGAAGACATGGAAAGCGATTTTGGAAAAAAAGAAAGTATCAGTACTGCAGTATACATCAAGAATAATAAATGGCAGGAAATACCTGGAACCTCATGTTATTTACTCTTGGTTACAATCAGGTCAAGGTAAAGAATTAAAGGGAAAATATAAAAATTAGGTTCTTGTATTGCTCATGTCTTCTGTCTGAAGACCCTGTGCTCCATTTTTATGGTGTGCAGCTATGACACAACTTCTGTACTAGCAACTGGCTTGTGACATTTTCAATGCCCTCTTAAATTCACAGTGATGTTTCTTGGAATCCAGCCTACTTTTCCATAAATTACCAAGGTCTTTTACAGACAGCATTAACTTGGGGACAGTCTGAATTACTTTGGATGAGCTTCCCAGCTGAGTTCCAGCCACTCATTTACTAGAGTGACCTTTTATCTCTGAAAGTATATGAAACAGTTGCTTTTGAGAACCCTGGCATGAATAACTTAGAGATCAGTTTGTGAGAACAGGACACATGGTGCCTTCCCTGGACAGCACCCTTACTACAAAACCCTGAAGCCATCTCAGGATTCACACTTCACATCCCACAATGGGGGGGAGGTAAAAAAAGAATTTACAGTCTATGTATATATATACATCTATGAGTCTATGCTATACAGTCTGTATCATGCCTCAAGTTGCATTTTATTCTGCTGCACCACTCAAAGTACCACCACAAGATTATTAAGTCAAATGTTGCAAGCATGCATATCCTCCTTTAAAGAGGAAAATTCTCTTGTGCTTTAGGAATCAGGTAGAGACTACCTTTACTTTCTAAGCCCTTGGAACATAAAATGCCTCCTAAATGCCTGGCTTGGCAGCACTGAGCATACACAGAACAGTTTCCTCTCCTGGAGATATAAACGCACAAAAGGCATCAAAAAATGCACCACACAGCTGTGTTTGGAGAAGCCCTGAGTGGACACACAGCAAACAGCAGGTCACCAGTGTTTCAAGAGTATCTTGCTTACCAACGGTTGTGACTGCAGTACTGCTGCCCAGGGCTAGTAATGCTGAGGCTGCAACATGCATGGAAATGAACAGCACAGACAGTAGCCATGAGCTCTTGTTTTATGGAGGAGGGAGTTTACTGTGCATCACCAGCTGATGGACAGGAGGTCTCCTGCCTGCCCTCTGCCTTCACCAGGCCTGACTCAGAAACTCAGCCAGTGCCATGTCTGGTGGATCTGTAAAAATACAGGAGTGGGGAAAGGACTGGCAGACCAGAGAAGAGAGAACATGCAATAAGAGGACCAGAGGTGCAGGGGCACGCAGTTTTGAGGAACACGTATGTGTTTATAGGAGGACATAGCTGCTAGCCAGCTGGAAGTCTGTTGGAGGACCACAGGGACAAGTCCTATACCCCTGGCACACCACTTATCCAGGGACACACACTTTTTAGAGTCCCAGAAAAGGAGCCTGGCTGTTTATGCCCAAGCTTTGGCAGGTCTTCCAAGGTGCCAAGGGCAGTTACCCGCACACACACACACACACAGACTCACCTCTGACCAGGGCCCCGTGCTCCAGGTCGCACATTGCCTCATGTTGCAGGGCTGACTGCTGCGAGGCTGCTGTGCAAAGGCCATGCACTCAGCATTATCCACCACCCCTTGGGAGCTCTGACCATCGAATGCCACACAGTAAACAGAGCGAGTCTGGGTGCCCCCACCACAGGTAGCCGAGCAGGGTCCCCACTCCCCTGTTTTCCACCTGCAGGTCACAGAATCAAGCAAAACAAAAACATAAGCCCAGCTAAACCCCTCAGAAACACAGGGGAGATGAGTGCCATGTCCCTGTTGTCATCAGACAGGGAAAAATTCCTTTTGCAGAACAGAGACAGAGGCGAGTTCCCATTTGACTGAGTGCTACCCAGCTTAATTAGCAATGCAAAGCCTGAGTCCTGCTTCAGAGACAAATCCCCAGTACAAAACACTTGTTTCTTTGGAACTGCAGAGCTCTCCCAGAGGGGGAAGATTTTTCTCCCTGGCTTTTGGTATCCTGATGCCTGCAAAAAAATCATGCCTGGAATGGAACATCAAAGAAAAAGAAAGAAAAAAAAACACAGAAACAATCCAGATCAGTTAAGAGAAAAGCAACACACACAAGGCTAACCACACGTTACACTCCTGCCACTATCGGAAACAGTAAAATCAAGCCAAGACCTCACTCTGCTTGCAAGCCATGACAGACACTCTCAGAAGTGCTTGTGAACTTCTCCCTGACAGCCAGTAGAAAGCTGGTTTATTCCTCCCATCAGCCAAATTCTCTAACAGCAGCACACTCAAAAACTCCCAAAACATTATAGATTTTGCCCTGTGTTTGGTTGCTGAAGCTGCCACAGAAATGATACACCCTTGCTAATGGAAGGAGGGATGTCTGCAAAATCTGTTTAGATGCTAGAATCCCTGCTCTCGTCCATTTCCATGTCTCTGTGCTGCCTAGGTAGCTGGGAGCACACCTTACATGGGCCTGGATTCAGGGACAACATTCTGTTTAATTCCAGTTCCAGCTTGCTGTGCAGTCAAAAAGCACTGTGGGCAGAGGGGGAGCATCATGGTGATGTGCTTGTAAGCTGCGATCTCCCCTTGCAGCTGGGTAAGCCCCAGCCGCAGAGTGGTCGCAGTTCATGTTTTCTCCCTGAGCTTTCCAGCTGCTTACCTGGTCTGCCCTCACCACCCGTTCACTGAGTTTCACCCAGCCAATTCCCATTCAACCACTGCCACAAACTCCACAGCAGATTCAGCCATGTTCATCTCCTTAAGATACACTTCATTCTTGCTAAAGATGCAATAGCAGCTCAAAAACGAATGGCCTTTGCTATAAAATAAGATGTTCCCATTGGAAAGGGAACAACTACAGCAAGTAGAAGCCACTCAGAGCAGTGTGGTTTCAGGGCTCAAAACATGCTTTGATCAAGATTATTCAGAAACCCCAGAGGGAATAACCCCCTCCCCCGAACTGAATTCTACCTCTTGTAAAGTGAGTGTACAGTTTTAGAAACTAACTAGGAACATCCATCTACAGCTTCTTTCAATTTCTTCTCTTGACACTTGTTTCATTTCCTCTGTAAGACAAGGTCAGCTGTAAGGCTCGGACCCTTGTCGGAGGGCAAAGAATTGCAAGTCCTGCACGATTAGCATCTTACTGGAGGATAACTGTTTTCTTTTGATCTTTTTTACTTAGCATACCTCATTGTACATAAGTACTGAATCAGTCATGTCCTTGTACTCATCTCAGTTTGTAGGGACTTTCCTGTTTGCTATAGGACCCATGTCAAAGAAAGAAGAGCTTTTTAGAAACCTTGAAGTCTTTGCTATGGCATGCTGGCATCCTGGCCAATGTTTACATTGCCCAGTCCATCATGCTCTCTGTTCCTTTCTGTTCTTTAATTTATCTTTATTAACTCAAAAATTAACACCGCTTCACCTCTTTACCTCTATTCCAGAAAAAAACCCAGCCCAACAGTTATCAGGATAAGTATCCAAAAGCTATGAAGAAACTGTCCCCTTCTGAGTCCCACAAGAATCAAGTTACCAGGAGCACACACAAACACCTAAGCAAGGCTGCCATCCAGCACCCTCCACCATCATTTTCATTGCCAAGAATCCAAAGCAAAGCACCACCCACTGCTACCACCAGTGCCAGAGGAAAGCTCCCCCATCTTTGCCAGGCAGCTAGGTGGAGAGCAGAAGAGAGCAGCTGCCTTCTTGTACTTTCTGTAGCCTCCTTCTTGTTACCTCTTCATCTGAGAGCTCCGTGCTCCACTGTGACTCCAGGCTTGCGGCAGATAGATGTAAGAAGTCCTTTATACACAGAACAAAGGATTTAAAGAATTCAAAACAAGTACCTACAGATTGCCATGTATTCAGAAATGCTCCCAGGTTTCCAAGTGCCCCATCACCCACAACAGTACTCACAGGCTTCTACTACACCCACCAGATACAGCTGGTCACATCTCTGGTTGCCCATGTGAGAGGCAAGTGAAGCCAACTGTAAAGCTGTATCAGCAAGGGCTTTAGTTTTTAGTTGCTGCTCAGTAATGTTTACTCCAACCAAGGACTTTCTGAGTCTCATGCTCTGCCAGGGAGGAGGGGAAGCCGGGAGGAAGCAGAGACAGGACACCTGACCCAAACTGACCAAAGAGGTATTCCATACCACAGCACGTCATGCCCACTGTATAAACTGGGGGCAGTTACCCAGATGGGCTAGATCACTGCTGGGGTCAGGCTGGGTATCAGTAGGGGGGTGGTGAGCAGTTGTATTCTCTTCCCTTGTTACTTCCTTTATCATTATTATTATTATTGGTGGTAGCAGCAGTGGTTTGTGTTATACCTTAGTTACTGGGCTGTTCTTATCTCAACCCGTGGGTGTTACATTCTTCTGATTCTCCTCCCCATCCCTCCAGGAGCAGGGGGAGGAAGAAAGTGGGGAGTGAGTGAGTGAGTGGCTGTGTGGTTTTCTGGGTTGCCGGCTGGGCTTAAACCACGACAACAGCAAAACCCAGAGAATCTGCTTATCTCCTATGTGGGCTAGAAGACTGTCCTCCACAATCCTACTCTGGAAAGCAAATTTAACTGGTCCATAAAATGAACATAGGATGTATTTAGCCCTTTCCTTGTGCACACAGAAAGAAAGTGTTAACTGCTCATCACAGTGTTATCACCACCAGCCTTGTCTTGTGCTTTCTCTGATTCTGTATTTTCTATGATTCTATGATTCTCTAAGAAGTAAAACAGTTCCTTAGAGAGAAGCACACTGGAGGCCAGGAGAAGTGGAGAAGTGAGAGGGCAATTCTATTTCTTGGTTCCAAAAGCACCTCAGGAAGAAGTCAGAGTCCAGAAGAAGAAAGAAAATCTTACCGTTTTGTCTGGGGACAAGTTTGATGGCCACATGTCCGGTTATTGTCTGGTTGTAGTTTATTCCTGCACATATAGTCTGGATAAATTTCATTGTCTATGGTACAAAACACCAAGCGGGATTGGAAACCTAAAGGAGAAGCAAAAGAGTACCCTGATCAACACAGGCCACCCAGAACCAGGTTTGCAACATGCTGGTGTGGCAGGACAAGTTTCTAAAGTAGCGCAGAATCCACACCTTTTCCAGCGAACCTGGAAAGAGAGCCCCGTGCAGATTTTGGTTTGTCACTATATGCACAAAGGATGCTTCCCCAACCCCTTCCAGGAGTTCTCTGGAAGGGCAAGAGAGCCAGAACAGTTCTGCGTACCTGAGGAGCATTTTCCTGTTATTTTATGGATTTATACTCACAAGAGAAGCACCACATCCAGGATTTCAACAAGAAACACTGCATCATGTGTGCAGTATATAGCAGCAGAGCTGGGAGTCTCCTGTTAGACTCAGGTCAGTCTTGTGAAGACTGGATACAGGAGAAAAACTTGCAACTCTTCATGCTTCCTACAGGATAAGAGTGCCCAGGCAAAGACAGTATCAGCACCTACAGCTACAATATGGCAAAAACTACTGAAATGGCCTTTAGCATGTAAGACCAGAAGAGGCTGATAGGAACTCAATTTACAAGTCAGCTGGAGAGATTTGTTGTTTTACTGGGGTTTTTTGTTTTGGTGTTTTGGTTTTGGTTTGGGGTTTGTTTGTTGTTTTGTTTGCTTATTTGTTTTGGTTTTTTGTTGTGTGTTTTGTTGTTGTGGTTGGTTTGGTTTTTTTGTTGTTGTTGTTTGTTGTTGTTGCTGTTTGTGGGGGTTTTTTTGTTTGTTTTTAGGTTAAAATCCATAACTGTATTAATGGAAAAGGTGATGATGTGATTCAGTTATGTAGGCCAGGTCAGCTTGGAGAGGACATCTCAAGCAGTTGAAAAAGTCTGAGAAGGGCATAAAGAACTGAAGAAAAATGAACCAAACCAAAACAGACCCTAGTAACAAGCCTATGGATTAGGGCAATGAAAATAAGACAGGACAAGACATGGGAGACAGTACTGTTGTGACCCCACGTGCTACCTTTCCTTGACCAAATCTTGTTTGCCACCTGCAGATACCTGTGCTGCCTGCCAGCAGGAGGCAGACTGCTGGGAAGCAGCTGCAGAGGGCAGCACACTGCCTTCAGTGTGGCAGCCAGCCCAGAGACCTGATCCTGTCCCCTTACCTCCTCCGCATTCAGAGCTGCACTCACTCCAGGAACCATAGCTCCAGCTGTAGCCCGAGGCCTGTCCTTGCACAGGCAGGTAGTACTCATACTGTACCCCTGGGTTTGGCTCCTGGCTGATGAGCTGCAGGAGCATGTGAGAAAGTCAGGGAAATAACAGCAACAGCACTTTCCCCTTCACAGCATTTCTCACACATGCCTGAGGGGTCAAGCTGACCTGCACCCCTCCCACTCCACGAGCACTTATTCTCTATGCTGTATTTAATCCTCGCTTTCTAGGATACTCTAGAGAGCATTATTTTTCAGAGAAAGGTGCATTCCATCCTCTCCGTGTCAGGAGATCCAGCTGTGCCTGTAACAGTAAGTGTCCTTACCTGGCCTAAAGAACATAACAAGCAGTGCCCTAGGGCCTGTCCCTGCCCCAGTACCATTTGGTGCTGACTCACTTCCCTTGAAGTCAGAACCCAAGGGAATAGGCAGGAAGACACCAATAAGCTTTGCCCTTCTCCTTTCTTGGCAGCAGAATCAGTGCAATAAATACTGCTCTTTCTGTAAGAAGACCACCTTGGTCTGTATCTTGGGGGCCTACAGCTCTGTGAGACTCCTGGGGGCTCCATCACTTCTCTAGTCTCCAGTCCTATCTGGTCCTCACCAATGCACTCCCACTGCACAGAGCAAGGACTGCTATGCAACCAGACAGCAAGAGTATCAGCGGGGGCAAGCACAGCTGCTTACCTCAATGATGAGGGGTTCTGTGGTGGGACCTTGTGCATGGAGGAGCTCTGGGGCCAGGTCACCCTCCGAGCCACGGTCATAGTGCATAACCGTGCTAGCTATCTGCAGAGCTCGGCTGAAGTCGATTGTCCACTGCCCATTCAGGTAATACTCCCCTCGCACGTTCTTGACAGCTGCACAAACCCACGTGCCAGAGAAGAAAAGGCAGCAAATTAACATCCCTATAACCTGCAACTTGGCTCCAGGTGCCATGAGACAGAGCCTGCTCCAGACTTCCAGGGTACTGTCAACCCAGAGCTCTCAGCTCTGCCATTTGAACTCCAGCTCCTTCACAGCAGTACTGCAACCCTTTAAAAGTGGTGACCATCTAATGTGGCAGCATCTACCAACACAGCAAAAGTTCACACATCAGAATAGGACCATAAGAACTCCACAGGGATGCTCCTGTTTCCACTCAACCCTGTGTCACAGGTGTAGCAATAAGGTGACCATCATCCTGCAACCATGCATCCCCTGTAAGGCTCTTGTGCCAGAAGCTGCTCCACACTCAGACAGTGGTTCTTGCCAGCTTTAATGCAGAGCAAACACTTTTTCTTACTGCACAGCCAAATGTCTCCAGTACATTCCAGCCCTGTTTCTGGTTTCCTTGTGCTTCAGTAGTAATTGTGGCACAGCCTATGTCATCCTCTGTCCTGTTTGCTGTTAAGATGCGGGATTCACACTACACTGACTCGCCACCTCTATCCTGTTCATCAGATACTCTGTTCAGAAAATAAAGCCTTTGGTGCTGCATCCGAATTTTGTACAAAGGCGAACATCACCAGCCAGATTTGTCCGAAGCACTGGGCAATGGAAGAGTCAGAAAGCAGAATAGTATTTGCTTTCTTCACTGGAATTTTCTTAGCCCTGCCTAGAAAGCTAGGTGAGGACATTTTTACCTTTTTTTTTGCACTCTGCAGCATGACCAGAATTTGAGACTGTACAGAGAAATACCCAAAACATATCTATGTGGAAAAGAAGCCCATCCCAAACTTATGTGTGGCAGCAGTTCTTAGGATTTACAATCACCAAGCAAAGAGCAGTGCTCATAGTGAAATTTTGCTATATCAGCTAAACTCCTTATTTTAACACAATGGCTGGAATTCAAATGGGCTGAAACACAAGTTCTGACATCAGTCTTACCAAGGAAGTTCCTGCTGGGCTTAACCTCCTTAATTCGGATGCTTGTGGCTCCCACAGGGATTATGAAGATTTGATTGTAACCTGAAAAAGACCAGAAAGGCATTATTCAGTATCTGTGGATGCCACACAGTCACTCTTCAGTGCCAAAGATGCTCACTGTTTCACTGGTGCCGGAACAACTGAATGAGCTTTATGATGGTGGCTTGAAGATTTTCAGCTGTCTCTTTATCAGCATTCTATTAGGTTCACCCTACAGTATCCACCGGTCAGCCCATGTATAAAAAGTTCTAATCACACCTCAGAAAAGTAAGCACAGGGGTCAGTATGAAGTCCATTTTTCAGGTTTTATAATCTTTGGACTTTCAGTGAGCATCATATTGGAGCTCAAACAGAGAGAGATCTGACCACAGCTGTAGTTGTTATCTTGACACTTTTCAAAATTGGCCAGATGAAAAAGAGGCAGTCCCTTTTCTAGCCTTGCACTAATCCTGGTGGGGCTATCAAGACTGGAGAGGGAGGCAGCCTTATGAAGGCAGTATATAGCTATGTTCATATGGCACATTTATAGCACCTGCTGAAGACTGACCACGGAAAAACACCAGCAGCACGGCAAGTGCTTCAATCTGTGCGGAGGCTAAGGAAGCGACTCCTAGGATAAGTCCATCAGTAAATATTCTGATGCTAAAGCAGCTGAAGAGCTACATGCTATACAAACATTTCAAATGAACGCCTAAGCCTGCCTATGACAATCCTGCGATCAGGTGTCACCACCAGCTTTTGTAGCAGTTGTCTTTAGGTTTACCTCTCTCCTCCTCACCTGCTCAAACCACCTAGAGCATCTGTACCTTTGGGGAGGCTGGGCACATCAAAAGTGCCCTTCACACCATAGCAAGTGCTGCCATCTCCTCCACACTGAAGGCACTTGTCCTCCTTCTTGGCAGATTCCAGCATGTTATCACAGCCAACAGCCTGCAGAGCACAGAAACATTGATATGAATAAATAGTAATGACAGAGGAAAGAAAAAATGGCCAAATGCTGGACTGATCTAATGAGAAAGCCTGAATCTAAGGAGTCTGGGAAGTCAGGATAAGGCAAGGAAGGAGTTGTCAGAGAAAGGATAGGCTTAGCATCTTCTACTTCATATTCAGAGACAGATAGATAAATGCTGTCCACATGCTCCTCGGGACCTTGGTAATGAAATGATTCTCCTTTTCTGATGCTATTATGAAAGATCAAGTAGAACAAAAGGAAGCAACAGAAAGACTGACAGACCCAATAGTAAAGCAAGGAAACAACAATGTAACTAACCTGGCAAACTCCTTCTACACAGATATCCCGCTTGCCAGGTTCACAGGTAGTCCCATCTACCACCGCTTCCTTGTGCCTGTAGTAGAAGTTTTCTCCCTTGGGGATACAGTTTAACTCACACTTATTAGGTGCTAGTAGGAGAGAAGAAAACAAACATTGTGTTATATGGCTAATGCATCAGGAGCTTGGTTTTAGATCACAGGAGCAGAAACATAACTCATTAAGTGGCAGATTTTGAACAAATTTCTGGGTCACAGACTGCTGGGGCTGGAAAAATGCCCTGGTAGAGCCCCAGTATATACAGCCATCTCCTTGTTCACTTCGACTGGCCAGTGGTGGAAGGGGGATGTTGGGCCAGGTGGATACTCTGTTATATTCCTTAGCAGGACTGTTCTTAAGCTCCTTTAAGGCACAATGCTTTCAAGAATGAGAACATGTGCTGCTACAGAACACAAGGGAGTTGTTACCTTTACAGCCAACAAACAAAACCTATCTCGAAATCCCTCCTGATTTCTTAAACAACTATGAATAACAACATACCAAAGTTCAGAATGAGGACCTCTGGTTTCTACACCTGCCCTCTGAGCAGATTCTTCAAGAAAGCATGGGCCAATAGAAAGAGATGTCATATTTCCTGAAGCACTTATTAGCTATATGCATTTGATTCTCCTGTGCCATGCTAATATTCTTTCCCAATATTGAAAAATATAGCACAGCTTCTGCTTCTCTGATACTTTTAAGACTTATCTGCAACCAGTTACAGCTTTCTTAAGTTTCTGAAAGAATGGCTGTTAGAAGAGACAACTATGTAATGCTGCAATGGGAGCTGTCTCTTGGCCTGTGCATCCAGTGTCTGCAAGAGGAATGTTTTGTAGCTGGCAACAAGATTTTTCCTATGCAAGCCTCTGCCCCCCAGTAAGGGTACTACAATCAAAAACATTACAATTACTTCAAAACATACTGTTAATAGTGAAGGATAAAGTGTAACCCTACATGTTTATCATTACCTCCATAGTACGGAAGCCACTTGTATTTCTTTCCTTGGAATTCTTTCCCATCGAACTCTGCGCACTGCTCTGCCCGGAAATCCCGGGAGCCTTCGGGGCAGCTCTGTTGCAAGGGAAAATGTTCGTAATTGGGCCATCATAAAAAGGAGAAAAGTTAAATGCACAACAAAAAGAGGTATTTTATTACATTGCTCCCATATAAGATCAGGGGCATAAATTCAATATGGTTTTGAAGGGTACTGTTGATGAACTGCATTCACCAGTGATGCCAGGGAAAGAGAAACTAATAATGACATATTACTTCTGAACAAGAGTGATGTTTGTCTGGGGAAAAGGAGCAACAGGCAACCAAAAACCAAGAAGAGGACAAGCAGAATGTTGTACCTGAATGTTGCATGACTGGTAGCTTCGAGCTGGTCCAACACAACTGGAAGAAACTTCTGCCCTGAAAGACAGAAAACCAACATGAAGCTCTCTGAAGAATAGACACAAAAAACCATCTCATGGCAGACATTAGAAATCACCTTCACATCAAACATATCACCCTTACACAGTTTCCTGAAACAGCAAAATAACTACAATGCATTACCTTTCCACCAAAGTCAGCCAGCATCTCCTAGTGCCATTTTCTGCTATGACTTGGGTTTTGGCATGAATGAGACACACACCATGAACAACTGCAATATAGCTCTTCAGGATAATGTTTCAATTAAATAACGGAAATGGAGCTTTTAGTCCTTTGTCCACCACCAAACAGTCACGGTGCCAATACCCAAAACACAAACATGAGCAGTAGGAGGTTAGTGGCCAATATAGGATAGGTATACACATCACCTAACGTGCTGCTTACATGCAGATTGATACAAAGAGGTAAATGTGCCTATGGAAATTGTAGACACTCTCATTCCAGTCAAATTAAAATTGGGTTTAAACTTAAACAGGGAAAGTTCAGGTTAGATCTAAGGAAGAAGTTCTTTACTGTAAGCATGGTGAGGCACTGGAATGGGTTGCCCAGGGAAGTTGTGAATGCTCTGCCCTGGTGGTGTTCAAGGCTAGCCTGGGTAGAGTCTCGGGTGACACGGCTTAGTGTGAGGTGTCCCTGCCCATGGCAGGGGGGCTGGAACTAGATGATCTTAAGGTCCTTTCCAACCCTAACTATTCTATGATCCTATGATTACTGCAGGTGAGAATTACAGAGAGTTACAGATACAGAGGAAATTGATCTGAAACATCAACCAGTGTCTAATATCTCCCAAAATGGAGAACAGGCCTGAAGGGATTCTGGCAGGTGTATACCATAACAAGTAGCCTTCAAAAGAGACCTTTCTTTATTCTGGGTGGGAAGAAGCAGTGCTCTTCTGGATTCTTCTACTGAAAATCCCACTCTCATTTCTCTAAACATAAAGAGAGGCTGTTCTTTTCAGGATATTATTAAGAGTCTGGCTTCCCCCCTCCCCCCGTTTTCTTTGTTTTTATCCATAACAGGATCTCTAAGGTGCATTATTCCCAAGAGGTCCATTCCCAGTAATCATCCTCACTGCATCTAACCCAGCTGCAAACGAGGTGGCACAGTGTTAATGCTGCTTGAGTAAACCCTACTGTTACATTTCTTCTGAGACAATTTAGTTTCCCAGGAATCATTACCCTAAGAAAATCTTGGCATGGTCACTGGATCTTGGGAGAGAAACTTACTACTCTGAACTGTCCTTCCTCTCCCACAGGCTTGCCACACTAGACCTGACTGAACAGCTGCTGCCATACCAATCCCCTGATTGCACGGCCTCAGATCTCACAGAGGAACCACTGTGCTCTAGCAAAGAAGCCAAAGCAAGGATGTGTTGAAGTGGACACTACTCAAAACAATGATGATGAAACTGAAGCTGAGGATCATCTCCAAGTGGACTCAGGTGACTTATTCACCTGAATCCCCCCTGGAATCAAACACTAGGTCATTTTTGTTCTGCATATGTATAGGTACATTATTGCAGGAGCTCAGAAAAAACACATTTAAAGAAAACAAAGAGAAGTTAGCCCTCACCTTTGGGAGTAGCAGCGCCGTTGCCGAAAGCTGACTCCACCGCCACAGCTCCGACTGCACTTGCCCCATTCCCCCCAGCTCCCCCAGACATCAATCTGCCGTTTCATCCGGTGGCCCTGTAAATAAAACCCCACAGACATAGCAAACAGCAATGGCAACACAGGAAAAAAGCCACGAAAATGAAGCAGAACTCCTATGTGTTCTCTTGCTGGGCTGTATTCCTCATATGAAAAGTGGCAGAGAATACTACATCAGAAAAGTCAAGCCTCAAATATTTCAAGTGTTAGCTTCCTGAAGCCACATAGCACATCCAGCTTTTTAATCTTCCTTAAGTTGTTAGTTCGCCTACTCATAGAATCTCAGCACTTCTGAATAACCACCTGAACAAGGATAACATCTCCCTCTCAGCAAGGCAGCAAAGGCAAATGTAATACTTCAGGGACTATGAACACTGTCACTCCACACCAGATCAATGGAGCCACTTACTCCCAAATCCTTGGCTCCAAGACAGATGCTTAAGAGAAGTAAAGAAAGCAGTAAAGAACCCCCTGGAACACACTTTCTATTGCAACAAAATGCTATACATGGAACTTTTTTCTCCCTACCCAACTGTATCTAATGATGAGGTCAAGGTCTGCATCATCATTAGCTACAGCCTTAATTAATTTTGTGTTTAGAAAGTATGAAGGCATACTGGCATTAGAAGAAATGATAATACAGACAAGAAGTTACAAATGCAATGGAAGCAACCAAAATAACATTGTTTCAGCAACATGTGAAATATCGTATTTTCGGGAAAAAAGGACCTACTGCAGCTGATGAGATCCACATACAACAGGACATGGGGGTTAGCAGAAACAAAATAGCAATATTCTGAGAAAAAGAATAATTGCAAGAAGCAACAGGATTAATGTTGCCTGGGAAAAGAAGGTAAATGCAGGGGTACACAGGGAGTGATGCTGTAAGGAGACGGTTTGCTGTGCAGCTGCATCTGTAGGGCAGTTTGTGTGTATATTATACAACTGAGAATGTAATGCATACCACTTGGGCACTTGAACATTTGGGGTAGTGAAGAGTGGACAGGCAGAGAAACAAAAGGCAAAAAAATATTGATATGTAGTCTAATTCCCTTCTATGTGCAGAGTATCCCACCAGACCTACATAACGAAACTGTGGGTCTGGGTGGGTGCCAATACATCCTCTAGTTTCATACAGCTCCTTTTGACTTGCACACAGCATCCTTTGTTCCCATCCTCTGTGTTTCCTGGTTTGTACTCTTGTTTCCATTCTTTCCTGTTGTCCCTCATGCATCCTCATGTAAACTATTCCCTGATTGTCACTCAGCTAGTAAATAGGTTTTCCGCTGGAGTGGAGGAACAGCCTAGAAATGGAGAATTTTACCATAGCAGGGATATGAAACCACCCAGGTCACTTTCCAAGGCCTACAGAGAAGGGACAAGCTCCTCACTTTAAAAACTTCAGTTAACTGATAACTGCTTTTACATAAGACATCCAGGTCTCTCCTAGAAATAGGAGCTAGCCTAATACATTATCCAGTGAATCCAACTCAGGCAAGATGCACAAGTTAATCCTCCCTTGTAACTTAAACAGGTTTTGTAATTTTCTACACATATTCCCTGCCTGATTGTACGCTTCCGAGTTACAGTCTTGTTTCTCTCTTTCACAGAATGATTTCCTGCTGTTGACAGAGCAACAGTCAGATGTATTAGCTGATCATATTTATGCACTTATTACCAAATTATCCACAACTACTTAGCTGCAGAGTTATCCCAGATTCTTCCCGACTACTATCTATATTGCTCTAATGTGAAACACTTTCTTCCTAGCCCATGCTATTTAATTCGCTTCACAAAAGTTTTGTGCAATTCTTTCTAATACCTCTGCAACCAAAATCCTTCAGGACAAGTTTTCTGGTTTGGTCAAACTCTGTTTGCCTTCACCCTGCTCACCCAATGGCACTACTCATGTCACAGCCACTTGTACATACCTTCCCTCTGTCAAGTCAACATCTCCCTGACCCCTTGCCAAACGCTTCTCCCATTCTTCCATTCCAGGTATTGAGCTCAGTGTTTGTTTGCTTCATTCTCACTTGCCTTTCTGGGAGTAATCCCATGAACAGTGTTTCAGCTTTCAGCAAGGCATTTTATTTTCCCAAGTTTTTATTTCAATCACCCAATTCTTCCCCCTGTAATCCCCCCTGCCTTATTCTCTAAAGAATGAAACATGCTACCACTCTGTTTCTCTGCAGTCTTATTCCTCTGTATCAACTGACTGATTTAGGACCAGTATTAGCTCACCCTGGAAACAAGGCACCGTTCAGTCAGCATAAGGAAGAAGAAAACATGTAGATAAAAACCCAAAGGAAGAGCATTTGAAAGTCAGATTACTGGATGGCAATTAGGACAGAAAGCCCTTCCCTGACACACACACCAACCTGATAAATATTCCAATATCCCTCCTACAGAAGCAGCATTCTTTATTCCTCCTATAGAGAGTAAATCTGCAGGGACTCTTTGTTATAAGGCTTATGCATCTGCAGAGTACAGGAACAATCATTTTCTCAGTATCACTCCATTTATGTATACCCTAAAAGGAGCATCAGCCAGAACAATCTTCCCAAGGCCTTATAATGTTAGAGAAATATTTTAATAGGGGCCCAACTCCCACATTCAGAAATCTGTGCTGTGTCCTCATTATTCAGAGCTGCATGCCTGTGTATACGACCAGGTACAAAGCTGCGTATTTATAGTAAATAAGAAATCTATTTTTACATCAGCTGATAACAGCATGCTTTTAGGTGCTGTCAGCTAGTTTCTGTTCCAAAAGCCTCTTTCTGCTCTCTTCCGACTCTGGAATGCTTTTATCTGTTGTCAGCCAGGACAACTAAATCCTGGTCTCTCCTGGACTGCAGAACTAAAAATTTACAAATTTCATCACTGTTACCAATTTGTTTCCATCCCTCCCTCAGTTCAGCCTAACATGCATACAAGAACACAATTCCCTTATCTGCATTAAGTATATATTTTAATGTTTCAGGAAAAGACAGGAAATGCATGCAACCATCTTAGTTGACTTCTAAAAACTCCAGAAAGGACTGTCGCTTAATGGCCAACTGCTCTGTCTAGTTTTATTGCCTGCTAAGACAACAGAAATACACGCATATTGATGGTGCAAGTGACCCTGGCACCACATGCTCTCAGTGCTCACTGCTCTCCTTTCTTCTTCCTCCTCCTCCCCACCCCCTGCTCCTGGAGGGATGGGAAGGAGAATGAAAAGAATGTAACTCCCACGGGTTGAGATAAGAACAGTCCAGTAACTAAGGTATAACACAAGCCACTAATGCTGCCACCAATAATAATAATGATAAAGGAAATAAGAAGGGAAGAGAATATAAAACTAAAAGGGAAAGGGAAAAGAAAACAATAAACACATGTGACGCACAATACAATTGCTCACCACCTGCTGACCGATACCCAGCACAACCTGAGCAGTGACCTCAGCCTTCTGGGTGACTCCCCCCAGTTTCTATACTGGGCATGACATGCTGTGGTATGGAATACCCCTTTGGCTAGTTCAGGTCAGGTGCCCTATCTCTGCTTCTTCCTGGCTTCCCGTGCCCCTCCTCACAGGCAGAGCATGAGACTGAAAAGCCTTTGATCAGGGTAAGCAATACTTAGCAACAACTAAAAACACCAGTGTGTTATCAGTGTTGTTCTCAGACTAAAGTCGAAAACACAGCACTGCACCAGCTATTGAGAAGGAGAAAAATAACCGTTACAGCCGAACCCAGGATAGGCACTGATTTCATTTTTATGAACACTGCATTGCTTTCATCAGTTCCTAGACAGATGCATTGCTGATATAGTTGCAGCATCTGCTGTTATCAAGCCAACTGTATTTGATAAAGCCAGCAAGTAAGAAATACTATGCTTCTGAGTCGATAGAGCTCCAGACTTTGTCTTCAAGGACAATTCCATTATGCATCAGACACAAACAAAAGAATTCTGGAAAAGGATAATATATACAATGTAATATTTATTTCTGTATATGAAACATGCACTGGAAGAAGAGTTATGAATGGGAGTCAGCTCAGATAGAAAACGTTGGCAGTACATAGAAACTTCAGAAAGGGCCCTCGAAAGACTTCTCAGCCAGTCCGATGAAATGGATAAGAAACTGTGCATGGGAAGAGGACTGTGCTCCCCAGATGTATGCACTGCAGACATGCAGTGACCCACACAGTTCACAGAACCAAAATGTAGACTAGTAATTCAGCATTAATAATTTCCCTTGTTGCAACTCAAAGGCAGCTCAAATACCAGCAAGCTATCAAAGTAAACATCAATATACTATGCAGTCCAAAGTGAGCTGTGAAGGTCTGTAGTCACCGGTCCAAACAACCTAAATGCCAGCCAGGTTCTTATCCATAGTGTTTCTCTTACTCTTTGGGCACCTTTGAGGGCCTAGAGATAGTCTGAATTATTCTGTGATTCTTTGTGGCTGCCTTTCCAGTCTGACAAGCAGCAACAAAACATCACATTACATCGCTCCAATAATCGCTGCTCAAAGCATGTGATTATCAATATCCATGCCATGCCGGAGAAGTTTTGGACAAGACTAATACTTGCTTTTAGAGCATCAGGTCACATAGCTTTGGTCCATAGAGCTGCAACTGAAGTACCTTTCTGGACATGGTAAAGTTGTTACTGTGGCTTCTTGGGCTGTGTCACACAGTTACTAGACTCCATTCAGACCTGAATCAAACCTCTTCAACAGTGAGAATATGGAGGGAAACACTGGAAGTTGACCACAACACACAGTACAATTGTTGTCTGCTGAAAACAAATACTGCTGTCAATGATAAAATGAGTGACGTGGTATTACTGTTACTTTATGCAGTCAAAAATCAGACTCTCTCTCTCTTTAAGCTTTCTAAGTATTTCTGAAGTGACCCTACATCCATTTTTAAAATAAGTATCTACTTTCTGGAGTTTCCAATGCCAGGCTGGGATGTGAGCTGCAGGTGGGCCTGGCTCCTCAGGGCTCATTGCCAGCATGGGCAGGGCTATGCAGAGCCCCACTGCAGCACTGCTGG